GGGAATTCAGGAACTGGAAATTGTTATGAGAAAATTTTCTGGACTTGCCATCAATTTCCAACTTTCAGAGATAAAGAAATCAAGTGAAGAAAAATTGCTTTATGTTTGGAATAGACCCACTCCCAAATGGCAGTTATCTTTTTTCGTACCAGAGGCTCATTCTACATTTACATTATTGATTCAAATTCAAATTCAAAATTCAAATTCAAAAACAGCTTTATTGTCATAAAAAAAAAGATTAAAACATCTCATTGACAAAGCAGAATTAAAAACTAAAAAAAAAAATACCTAAAACATAATATAATGCTGACTTGTAAAACAATATTAAAAACACCGATAAGTCGACAATACAAAGAATACATAATAAAACGACGATACTAAAATTACACAGGAGGTCAAAACATAAATTAAAGCGGGTCTTAAATAAAATAAAATAAATGTATAAAAAATCACAGTCTAAAATAAGTCGTCAAAATATTCGATTTCTGAATAATAAGCTTTGTTCAAAAGTAATTTTTTCACTTCTCTTTTAAATTTTCTTTCATCTTCTATTTTTCTTATGCTTTTTGGTAGATGATTAAATATTTTCCTACCATTATAAATTATGGACTTTTTAGTTAAGGTGGAAGTAGGTATCGGAAGTGATGTGGTGTGGGTATTTCTCACAGTATAAACTGAAGTGGCCTGAATTTCCCTTTTAAACTTCCTATGAATCAAACAGGCTGTTTCATGGATAAACACGCTGGTCAAAGTTAGGATTTTATGGCTAATAAAAAAGGGCCTACAAGAATCTCTTCTTTTTAACTTTAGCATAAAACGCAGTGCTCTTTTTTGTAGTAAAAAAATTGTACTAAATAAATATCCAGAACAAGCTCCCCAAAAGCATATACCATACCGCAATTGTGAGTCTATCAGAGCGAAATATGCTTCCCTTGCTGCCGATAAGTTAACCTCCGACGCTATGACCCTCAGGGCATAACAACCCCCAGAAAGCTTCCTCGACAGTTGCAAAATGTGTTCATTGAACTTCAGCTGCTCATCAACCAAGAGACCCAAAAATTTATTCTGTGTGACATTGCCTATGGATTCCCTATTCAACAGCACCCCCTCTAAGTGACACTTAAAGCATAAAACATTTGTCTTGGAGACATTCAGAGTTAGGAAATTTGAATCGCACCAATCTTTTATTTTACCCAGATCCTCACTTACATAATTTGCCAATTCATTCGGGTCTCTTGAGTGCCACAAGATCGTAGCATCATCAGCAAACATGGTAAAGGAACCAGATATTTCCAAAGTTGCCAAATCGTTTATATATATTAGGAATAACAAAGGCCCGAGGACGGATCCCTGTGGTACTCCAGAAGTTATGGCTAAACTTGATGAAGTGCTATTATCGAAAATGACAGACTGATGACGATCTGACAAATACGACCCAATTCAATCCAAGACAACTCCCCTAAAACCAAAAACTTCGAGCTTGCCAAGCAGTACTCCATGGTCAACACAATCGAAAGCTTTGGTTACATCGCAGAATACCGCTGCAGCAATCTTTCCATAATTGAGTTGAATGTATAGTTCCTGCATCAGAGAAAAGATGGCATCATTTGTGGATTTTTTAGCCTGAAAACCAAATTGTGACTGATTTATGATGTTATGGGCTTCTAAAAAACTTATCATTTGCTTTTTCACAATTCTTTCCACAATTTTCGAGAGTGTTGGGAGCAAAGAAATAGGCCTAAAATTAACTGGAGCATTTGGGGTCACCTCCCTTAAAAAGAGGAATCACTCTGGCGATCTTGAGACACGAGGGAAACCTCCCGGCAACAAACGACACATTTATGGCTTCAGCCAAAGCCTCCAAAGAGATCTCTGGGAGTGCAAGAAAGACCTTCAAGGGCACACCATCCCATCCCGAAGAGTTTTTGTTTTTCATATTCCTGAGCACCTGTCTTATTTCTTCAGCATTTGTTGGATGAAAATAAAAAGAGTTGCTCACCTCACTGCTCTGCACATAATCCAAAGCACTCCTCTTAGGACTAATATTACGTGCCAGATCACCTGCCACAGACACATAAAATGAGTTGAACTGATCTGAAGTGACATTCGACTCTATAGGCTTTCTGTTCTTCCCCCTGAGATCGTTAACAATGCTCCAAGTTTCCTTCTGCTTGTTCCGTGATTGTCCCAAGCGATTTAAGTAGTACAGTTGTTTAGCCGTTTTTATGACACGTTTATAGATCTCTCTATATCTATTGTAGTAATTAATGAAAACTATACTATCCAATAAATATTTACGCATTGCATGCAAGGAACGCATATTTCGCGCCGATACCTTCATACCCCTAGTAATCCACGGTTTTCTTTTACTTTTTTTAAATGTTCTTATAGGAAAGGAGATATTAAATTTGAGTGTCAATACATCATGAAAATATGCAAGGGGGTCTTTAGAGCAAACCACACTCTGCCAATCAACTCCCTGGCAATGCCGCGAAAATACATTAAAATTATGCTTAGTATACATTCTTCCCCGACGCTTTGATGCCCTGGCGCGACCACATGTTATATTAAACTCACATAAAACAGCCTCATGATCCGAGAGGCCAGCACTAATCACCCCACAACTCACAAATAGACTGTCAGATAAGTTGGAACAGACATAGTCAATGAGAGTCGATCCCTTTCCGGTTACACGAGTTGGTTTATTTACATGCATACACAAGTTAAATGAACTAAGTAGATTTGATATCATGACAGTGCTACTATGTGAGATGTTAGAATAATCAATATTTAGATCGCCAGCCAAAATTATATTCGCTTTACATGGGAGCGCAGACAATAAAATTTCAAGTTTAGATATGAACAAGCTTACATCAGAGTTTGGCGCTGTGTACAAACAGATCAGAAATAGATTCAGTGTGGGTAAACGTACCAAGGAAAACTCAAATTCTTTTTCGACCAACATATCATTAAATCCATCCACACCTACAATAGAGTACAACTCCAAAAACCGCGTGTGAGCCAACACCATAGTGCCACCGTGAATAAATCTCTGCCTAGAAAATTTAGATTATAGTTAGGTAAAATTACATCCTCATCAACATTAAGCCAGTGCTCAGTCAGAAGCAGAATCTGAGGATTTCCGAGTTCCTCGAGAAAAATAGACAGTTTGTCTTTTTTATTTCTTATTGACTGAATATTTAAAAGCATCACAGTCGCCGATAGGTCGCTTGTTCTAAAAAAATCCCCTCTGACTGATCATGGTCAACCGGAATGTTCCTTTTTGAATGTGGAACAATGTGCTTGCTTGTGAAAAGGAAAAGCATCTGTGAACACAAAAACTTACACAAAAGAAATTTACTATTGTAAGATGGTTCTCCATATCTACCTCTTTCCTCATCCCGCATAAAGCTATCAAAAGAGAAAAACACCGAATTATTTGGATTATCGTTTACTCGGGTTTGAACCATTGAATTATTTTCGTGTATAAAGTCATTTAATATTCCTCTATCATAAGCAAAAGATGATCCTATCACAATTAAATTGTGATCTTTAGAAATAGTTAACAGTTTGTCCACATCTTCCTTTTTAATACTCCTCCCCTTCAAAGCATCACTATTGCCCACAAAGAATATTATATAATCATCCCGTTTTAATTTTGGAATGTACCTTTCACATTCAGTTACCATTTCATCGAACAAAAATCCTACATTATATTGACAATTTATATCATATTTAGCACGTGAATATTTCTTAAGTAAACCAGTGCAGCCAACCACACATTCCTTGCTTCCTATTACAAACAATTGAGGCTTCGTCTTCATGCATCCACCATGTACAACTCTTTCGGCCAATGTCGCATCTGTGTTTCGTCTATTTACCGATGAGCTGCTGTCTTCCAAAACATATCGTACCTTTAGTGCATCCGCGAGCTCCTCGGCGGACCTTTTGTTTTCTCCCTCCAAAACTCTGATTGCTTCCACCATGTTTCTGTTAATTACATTCAGATCCTCAACATCCTTTTTCAACTGATCGTGCCTTTTGGCTATAGCATCTAGTTCTCCCTTCAGCTCCTCATTATACTTCATCACAGATACCAATTCGGCTCTCAGTTTAGAAATAGCATCAGTTTTTTTTTTAATTTCCTGGACGAACTCTTCCTCACATCGAATCACATCATCCGCGAAATCTTGTGTACGTCTTCGTTCACGTTTTTGAAATGATTCCTTTTCCATCAGTTTAGAAGTTAGCTTTTTAATTTCCGAAGTATGCTTGTCGTTGATTTCCTCCATACATCTATCATTCTCACAAACAAGTTGCCTAAGTTTACCCTTCAAGTAAGCAATCGACTCGACATCTGACACTTCGGCACAGTCAGCGCAGAAGTAGCTTATATACGGCGATCTCTTCTTTACTGTAACACCCCTATGTTCAGAGGCCGATAGGTTAGAGCAAGTTGAACATAGTAATTTTTTACACAGATCACATTTGGCGTGTGCATAACTATCGCTCTCATTTCCCTTACATTTGCTACAATGTGCCATTGCGCCTAAATTATCATCAATGCAACTCAAATCTTTTGCTCAAATTGAATTATAATTAAAATTAAAATTTGAATTTATTATCTGCTTAAAATTCAAAGAACAGTTGTTTTTGTTTATTTGATAGAATTAGCATATGCAAATTATATTAACGATAAGGCTCGGGTATATTACCTCTTTTTTTTTGTATCCTTTTCTTTTGTAGCTGTAGAAATCTTGCCTTGCAAATATTGATTTTTTCTTGAGAAAAACCACGCTTTAGTGAAATTTTCCTACACTGAGAGACAGATCACATTTTTACTCACAAAACCATACCAAACACAACAACAGACTGCACTTTAAAACTCGAGAAAAACGCACAAATTACGGAGCGTAATGAAACGCGTCAATACGGAGCGCAAACACATCAGGCTAAAAATTCTTATCCAAAGTAGGTACAGACAGATTGAAATAAAACCCAATAAAAATTAATCGTAATAGTTATAATAATGTATACTCACAATACACAGTATTTTTTTTTGTTTATGTACAAAATTTACACAAGTAATATAGACATCACAATTTTCCCTATTATAAGTAAACTTCTTTTTTTTTCTGTAACGCTCGCTATAGTAAAAGTTATTTTATTTTTATTTTTACTTACAGCCTAAATACACTGTACAGAAAATTCGCCCAACAGAAAAAGTAAACTCGAAAAAAAAAAAAAAAAACCTTAGTAATTATAAATTAAAAAATAATTCTAGCTAGCTATTCACATTTTTTTGTTTTAAATATTTTACAAGAGTAAATAGCTCTGTTCCGACCGACATGAAAACTGTTCCAGAACCAGTAATTTCCAATGACAAATGTATTGATTGACTGGAAATTACCGTTCTAGAACGGTTCACATGTCAGTTGGAACAAACCTAATAATAATAATTAATAATAATAAAAGGGTTGCTTCATATTTTTCCCGTACAAAAAAAAAAGATTTACACTTCTATAATAAATTCCCAGAAAAAAAAATATACATCCTAAGTTTTCGACAAATTAAATTTTAATTACAGCCCTTAAAAACCAAGCTGCATTTATGTTACATTTCGCCAATAAGGTGGCAAATAACTGAAAAATTCCTTTTAATAATAAATAAATTAACAACAAGAAGCGTATATAAAAAATAAACTTTCAAACCATGTAACCCCACATTTAAACAATTAATTGAATTTTTTTTGGTTACCGGCGTACCATCTTTACAAATATTGTAAGGATGGTTCACGAGTTAAGAGGGTGGCGACTATATTTTGCCTACACTATCCACTTTGTTAGGGTAGGCAAAAGAACTGAAATTATCTTATGCCACCCTTTTAAAAATAATTTAAATTAGAAAATAAACCGCTAATATGAAAAATAAAGATCCTCTCCTAAACAAAGAAAAAAAACTCTTCGATATTATTATTTTTTTTTATACAAAACTAAGTTCAAATATGAGATCTTCTTATGTAGGTTAATTAATTAATTAATTTTTTTTTTTTTTAGATTTTTTTAAACATTTTTATAATATAGTAACGCATCTTTTAGAAATCACAGTGAAACTTTTTTTTTTTTTTTAAACAGTTTAAGCATAGTGTTTTTTTTTTTGTTGTTGTATTATACACACTTTTCTCGTACATCCAATTATTTCAACCGAGAGAAACACCAAAATCTCGGAGAACTCGAGGCATCAAAATTTAGACTAGCAAAGACACATTCGGGATTTTTTTGTTTAAACCGTAGTTATGACTATCATTAGATGGGCAATGTCGGCCACTCGTTCCAATAAACTTGGAGCAATCCTGCGAAGATTTTCATTGACAAAGTCACACGATGGAAAAATGTGGACCACATAGGCAGGCTGAAAATTATAATGAGAATATCTATGTATTTGTATGAATGAATTATTCTTACCGGATGAGTGGTTCCAGGGGCGGCTACATTTACAATGCCAGCGGCTTGTTTTTGTTGTAGGTAAGTGATGAAGCCCAATGTTAGATTGTTGGATTGTTTAAGTACGTCCATGTGGTCGTGGCCGCAAGGGAGGGCCAACAACATACAATGTTCTTTTTCCATCTGGAATGAATAATGTATTTTTATTTTGAAATAAAATCCATATAGGTGTGACAGTTTTCTACTTAAAAATGCAATTTTTATAAATTCTAGGCACTTGGAAATCGATTTTGATCCAATCCCAGTCTTTTGAAATTGATTCTATGGAACAATCTCACTTTGGAATACAATTTTTGTAAATACTGATAACTCGAAGCGATTTTGAAGATTAATTCTAAAGGTTCTAGAACTGATACAGTGTCCAAAAAGTTCAGCAACGACTTAGGAACCGAATTCTCAGAATTTTTTTAAAGTAGGTATCATATATAAGTACACTTTCAATTTTTAGCATTTTGGCATATTTACTACAGTTTCTTGAGAGTCTTAATTCGGATATCAAGTGACTTAGTGTGTCTAAAGGGCTTGGCAAAATTTAAGATCCAAGTTTTCAGTAGGTATCTATTTTGGTTATATTGAAGTTTAGTAAAAGATTTTTTAAGTAAATTTATATAAACCAATATAAAAAAATATTGAAGTTCCTTTAAATAACTTGAATAGTCAATAAAGTGAATGTTCAGGAACCTGTGGCAAAAGGCCTCGACACCAATTCAAGATCAAAAATTTTTCAGTCTCAATAAACTATCCCTAATTTGAATGTAAAGTATATTCAGTCCTTTGGACACAATAAAGTTCCTTGAGAAACTCAATCTCTTTAAACTGAATGTTCTAAGATTTTTGGCACACATCTAAGTCTAAACTCTCAAAAGTAATCTTTTAAAAGCTAATAAAATTATTTCTAAACTGAATTTTAAGTTTTTTGAACCCTTCTCTGAGAAGCTCAATTAATCTATAAACTTACTGTAAAAGTACCCCTTTAAATTTCAAGGATTTTGAGCACTTTGAGTATTTTACAATTTTTTGAGAAAATTAATAAGTCTTATTGAACCCTAGGGGTTAGTCACTGCAGAAATCTTCTCTCCTACAAGATAAAGATCTCATGAAAATCCATGGAGATCTGTGGGAATTCTTGAATTTTTAACTGGTACCTTGTAGGTCCGGCGAAAATCCAAATGATTTCCATAGAGATCCAATAAGGATATATGCCTTAAAATCTCAGGATATCTCTGGAGATCCAAAAATATCCATGGAGATCTATGAATTTACAAAAAGATGTTCACAAATGGAAATTTTCTGTCCTAAAAAATCACTATGTGGAAATCTTATGTGTCCTACGAGATGGAGATCTATGGAGGCTCGTGGAGATATGCGGAGATCTATGGAAATTAATGGATATCTGTAGAAATATATAGACAGGGGGTAAACCACCATCCCAGAATTGGTGCAAACAATTCTTCAAAGGGAAATTTTCATATCATAATTCCTCAAGATTCCTACAAATTCCTCCAGATACCCTATCACAAATTCCTCCAAATACCCCACCACGAACTTCTTCAAATACCCCAGAAATTCCTCTAAAAAAAGGGAAAATTTTGAAACTTTCTGCATATAAAAAGGAAGGTGAGAAGATCATTTTCCCAAAATTTAAAAGTTTCCAGTGGAAAATAGCAACATGAAAAATCTTGGAAATCAACCTACAATAACTGAAATAATTGAAAATACAGTCTCACACATTTCAAAGTTTTCCTGGAAAACTAGTGAAGGAAACATTTTGAAACATTTTGCATGTAAAAAAGAAGGTGAGAAGCTCGTTTTCCCAAAATTTCAAATTTTTCTATTGAAACTTTTTGCATGTAAAGAGGAAGGTAAGACGCTCATTTTTCCAAAATTTCAAATTTTTCCAGTAAAAAACAGCAACATGAAAAATCTTGAAAGTCAACCTACAAAAACTGAATTAGTTGAAAATATAGTCTCACACATTTCAAAGTTTTCCTAGGAAACTAGTGAAGGGAAAATTTTGAAAACTTTTCGTGTAAATAGGACGGTGAAAAGCTCATTTTGCCAAAGTTTCAAATTTTTCCAGTGAAAAACAGCAACATGAAAAATCTTGGAAATCAACCTACAAAAACTGAATTAGTTGAAAATTTAGTCTCACACATTTCAAAGTTTTCCTAGAAAACTAGTGAAGGAAACATTTTGAAACTTTTTGCATGTAAAAAAGAAGGTGAGAAGCTCGTTTTCCCAAAATTTCAAATTTTTCTATTGAAACTTTTTGCATGTAAAGAGGAAGGTAAGACGCTCATTTTTCCAAAATTTCAAATTTTCCCAGTAAAAAACAGCAACATGAAAAATCTTGAAAGTCAACCTACAAAAACTGAATTAGTTGAAAATACAGTCTCACACATTTCAAAGTTTTCCTAGGAAACTAGTGAAGGGAAAATTTTGAAAACTTTTTGTGTAAAGAGGAAGGTGAAAAGCTCATTTTGCCAAGGTTTCAAATTTTTCCAGTGAAAAACAGCAACATGAAAAATCTTGGAAATCAACCTACAAAAACTGAATTAGTTGAAAATTTAGTCTCACACATTTCAAAGTTTTCCTAGAAAACTAGTAAAGGGAAAATTTTGAAACTTTTTGCATGTAAAGAAGAAGGTGAGAAGCTCGTTTTCCCAAAATTTCAAATTTTTCTATTGAAACTTTTTGCATGTAAAGAGGAAGGTAAGACGCTCATTTTTCCAAAATTTCAAATTTTTCCAGTAAAAAACAGCAACATGAAAAATCTTGAAAGTCAATCTACAAAAACTGAATTAGTTGAAAATACAGTCTCACACTTTTCAAAGTTTTCCTTGGAAACTAGTGAAGGGAAAATTTTGAAATTTTTTCGTGTAAAGAGGAAGGTGAAAAGCTCATTTTGCCAAAGTTTCAAATTTTTCCAGTGAAAAACAGCAACATGAAAAATCTTGGAAATCAACCTACAATAACTGAAATAATTGAAAATACAGTCTCACACATTCCAAAGTTTTCCTGGAAAACTAGTGAAGGAAACATTTTGAAACATTTTGCATGTAAAAAAGAAGGTGAGAAGCTCGTTTTCCCAAAATTTCAAATTTTTCTATTGAAACTTTTTGCATGTAAAGAGGAAGGTAAGACGCTCATTTTTCCAAAATTTCAAATTTTTCCAGTAAAAAACAGCAACATGAAAAATCTTGAAAGTCAATCTACAAAAACTGAATTAGTTGAAAATACAGTCTGACACATTTCAAAGTTTTCCTAGGAAACTATTGAAGGGAAAATTTTGAAAACTTTTCGTATAAAGAGGAAGGTGAAAAGCTCATTTTGCCAAAATTTCAAATTTTTCCAGTGAAAAACAGCAACATGAAAAATCTTGGAAATCAACCTACAAAAACTGAATTAGTTGAAAATTTAGTCTCACACATTTCAAAGTTTTCCTAGAAAACTAGTGAAGGAAACATTTTGAAACTTTTTGCATGTAAAAAAGAAGGTGAGAAGCTCGTTTTCCCAAAATTTCAAATTTTTCTATTGAAACTTTTTGCATGTAAAGAGGAAGGTAAGACGCTCATTTTTCCAAAATTTCAAATTTTCCCAGTAAAAAACAGCAACATGAAAAATCTTGAAAGTCAACCTACAAAAACTGAATTAGTTGAAAATACAGTCTCACACATTTCAAAGTTTTCCTAGGAAACTAGTGAAGGGAAAATTTTGAAAACTTTTTGTGTAAAGAGGAAGGTGAAAAGCTCATTTTGCCAAGGTTTCAAATTTTTCCAGTGAAAAACAGCAACATGAAAAATCTTGGAAATCAACCTACAAAAACTGAATTAGTTGAAAATTTAGTCTCACACATTTCAAAGTTTTCCTAGAAAACTAGTAAAGGGAAAATTTTGAAACTTTTTGCATGTAAAGAAGAAGGTGAGAAGCTCGTTTTCCCAAAATTTCAAATTTTTCTATTGAAACTTTTTGCATGTAAAGAGGAAGGTAAGACGCTCATTTTTCCAAAATTTCAAATTTTTCCAGTAAAAAACAGCAACATGAAAAATCTTGAAAGTCAACCTACAAAAACTGAATTAGTTGAAAATACAGTCTCACACATTTCAAAGTTTTCCTAGGAAACTAGTGAAGGGAAAATTTTGAAAACTTTTCGTGTAAAGAGGAAGGTGAAAAGCTCATTTTGCCAAAGTTTCAAATTTTTCCAGTGAAAAACAGCAACATGAAAAATCTTGGAAATCAACCTACAAAAACTGAATTAGTTGAAAATTTAGTCTCACACATTTCAAAGTTTTCCTAGAAAACTAGTAAAGCGAAAATTTTGAAACTTTTTGCATGTAAAGAAGAAGGTGAGAAGCTCATTTTCCCAAAGTTTCAAATCAGTAGAAAGGTTGAAGGCTCATTTTCCCAAAATTTCAAATTTTTTCAGTGAAAAATAACAACATAAGGAATATCGGAAATCAACCGATAATAACTGAATTAATTGAAAATACAGTCTCACACATTTCAAAGTTTTCCTAGAAAACTATTGAAGGGAAAATTTTGAAACTTTTTGTATGTAAAGAAGAAGGTGAGAAGATAATTTTTTCAAAATTTTAAATTTTTCCAGTGAAAAACAGTAAGATGAAAAATCTTGGAAATCAACCTACAAAAACTGTATTCAATTATTCTATTGAATTTTTTAAATTTCAGAATTTCCTTTAAATGCCCTATAAATTCCCCAAATTCTCATAAATTCGGACGAATTCCTACAAATTCCTTCAAATTCCCCACATTTTTGGTAAAAAATTCCTAGGTTTTTTGCCCTTTTCATATAGATATCTGATGGAAATACGAAATACGTGGAAATCCACTGGAAATATGTGAACATCCGGTAGAAATACATGGAGATCCAAGAACTTTGGGTGGAGTCATATATAATCGGAAAAGCGTAATCGCATGCATATATCTAATACCGTGGTTATTATTGTATATGGAGGTTTGGAGGATATACACAGACATTCATGAAAATCCATTGGAGATCCAAGGATATGCCTAGAGATCCCATGAAAACCCTGGAAATCCAAGGATATCCATGCAAATCTATGGAGTTCCAAAAAGATCTTTGGCAATCCTTGGATATCCGTGAAGATCCAAGAATTTCGGTTGCAACCGTGTAGAATCGGGAAAGCGTATTTGCGTGCGCACACCATTTTAACTGGTACCCTGAAGGTCTGGTGGAGAAGATACATGGAAATCCAAATGATTTCCATAGAGATTCAAGGATATGCCTGGAAATCTCAGGATATCTCTGAAGAATATCTATGGATTTACAAGAAGATATCCACAAATGGAGATTTTCTGTCCTAAAAAATTGCTCCTAACTACCCCCTTGATAATTAAGCCTTTTTTCCAATATAGAGAAGGGAAAAGTGGAGGAAAAATCATTAACTAAATATCTGATATCAAAGCTAATGAAAAACAGCTATTTTTTAACACAAATGCAGGACAGTATTATAAGGTTTTCTTAGAAAACCACAAAAGAAAGTATTTTGGACACAATAAGGAGTAAGCGGCACAATAAAAATATCAATCTGAGGCGAAAATAATACAACAATCGCTTGTTCCTCTTACTTGTTATTGTGTCCCATCATATCAGATACAAAAGTACTATTGCTAAAGTACGAATAAATGATTTCAAGTATAAGTGGTAGGTGTATTATTATTTTGTAAAGTAACTATTAATTCCCTTTGAAATCAATTATGTTTTTGTTCTTTGAGGAGTAAAAAAATCATCAGCAATATAAGAAAAAACTAAAAATTGCTCAAAACATTCTCTTTTTTTCCTTGATTATCAACTTGGGCATAAAATTCCTCAACTGTGTTAAAAATTCATCAATGATCAACACAATCACAGTTTAATCAACAAATTATCAAAGATAAAGTTCTTACCTGCATTTTCCTGGCCACCCCTTCAACTTGCATCGGTTCCAATCGCATCCTCTGAAATATTCTAAGGGGTGGCGTTGAACCATCGGTATTTTTCGGTAAACTACTGTTCGCTACGTCATCGTTACCAGACACAAAGTACATCTGCACGGCGGCCTGGTCATTTTTGAGAGCCAACAGGCCTTGCCACATTAACGGGTATTGCTGGAACACAAACAGAAATTGAAGATTGTGCTTAAAACCTACTTCATATTATTTGAATATTGTTATACAAACATTATTAGAATGTTTGGATTATATCTTTATCAAGTGTCAAGAATATATCAAGTTGTGCTGAGAACAGAACTTTGAAGAGATAAAGCCACAAGCTATTGAAGATCTATATCTTTCTTATCATGTGAATCTCCTTTGAATCACTTGCAAAGCAAAATTTAAACGGAAAGACTATCTGAAAAATCACATAATAACACATTCGGATATTCATCTTTTCGAATGTGACACTTGCAAAGCAAAGTTTAAACGAAAAGGCGTTTTGAAGAGGCACATTCGGATATTCATCCTTTATTTGAATGTGACACTTGCAATGTAAAATTTAAAGAAAAAGGCGATTTGAGGATGCACATGTTTACACACTCGGATATTTATCCTTTTGAATGTGACACTTGCGAAGTAAAATTTGAACAAAAAGGCATTTTGACGAGGCACATGTTAACACACTTGGATATTCATCCTATTGAATATGACACTTGCAAAGCAAAATTTGTTCCTGAATAAGTTAGCGCTGATATTTCACTGACAAAAGTATAACAAGCCCGAAACTGTTCTGTAACTAGCGTCAGTATTCTACCCAATGATTAAGAATTCGGATTTCGACATTGTTTTATAAAGCAAAACTACCACGTTATAATTCTTTGAATGTGAGAATACTTGGAATGGGTTAGTTTCTAGGAATATCCTAATGGAAATTCCAGGAAGTATTGCAAATAGCATTTCTACAATCTATTTTTTTTTATGTGGGGAAGTGGCAGTAAACTTACTTTGAGGAGCATGAAAAGACTTTCCGCTTGAGGCGGCACCTGGCTGGCTAGAGGCGGCGTGGCCGCTTGAATACCACGTTGATTTGAAGCATCTATGCCAATATGTTTGGCCACTGCACCCATTAGGTTACCGGCTGCACCTAAACCTGCTCCAACAAGAAGTCGATCTGCAAAAAAAAAAAAAACACACTTTAGCCAAAACCCACTGTTAAAACTACAATAATTCTTACCAGCAGCATAAGATGTTTGAGTCCGTTCAGGTGTTCCGTGTGCCAAATGGGCGCTCAAAGGTCTTTCTGGTATCACTCCTGTAGGTCTGTCTGGGATTAAATGGGCGGTGGTGGAATGCACGGCCCCGTGAGCCCCCAGAGGCCTGTCGGGGGTGCCCAATGGTGGAATGTGCGGTAATCCGGCTCGGTCGTGCGATGTTAAAGGTCTATGGGCCGGGGGAGGTTCAGCGGGTTGTTGATCGAAATATCTGGTATGGTAGGGTGGTAGACGGGCCGAAAGGGTGTTGTAAACTTGACCAATTGCAGGTGATTCTAGAAAAAAATAATTTCATTATTTAACATAACATAAGTGACTGTTTTTAACTTATAATAATCATTATTATTAGAAATATACCTGTGGCACGATCATGAGGCGAATGATGAGGCACTGCGGCACCTCTGCCAGACAATGCTAAACCCACTGGAGCTTCTTCGCCTTCCTCGCCCGATTTATCAAGACTTGCCCTGTAAACAGCAATAGTTATAATTTGATTTGATTTATATACAAATTATATACGTACCGTTGTTGGAAATGTTGCTGTTGCTGTCTGATAAATTGTTGGTATATCATGTGCTGTGAATGCATATAATGGGCAGGATTCAGATGGGGTCCTGGGGCAAAGTGAGGTATTGGCTCGCCCTACAAAAAATAACACATTGCATTACTTGTTTGTTTTGGTTTGGGCCTGAAGTTGCAATCGTTTTACCACTGTACAAGATCAGAGTAAGAATAATGCAGTTGCTGATCCATTATCAACAATTTTTACAATAAACTTACTGAACACATTGAATTATCAACATTGGTTTGAAGGTCAATAATTAGAAATTATTACGTGAGAATCAAAATACCTTTGAAAATAACTCGATGAAATTAGAAGATATTGAAATTACAGATGTGTAGGCAAGTTTTTGATAAAAATTATTGTCTTTTACATCCTGGTTCTAAAGGTACAGAGACTTATTGAAAATAATTTTGTATGGCCAAATATGTAAAAGGAAATGAGTTTTTTGTTACATTCCGTGTCAAATAGTTAAAGTTACAAAACATGACAAGACAAGATTTCAACAAGTTCAATTGGCTGAATTGCTAGATTTGGAGTTCCAGAGAATTTACAAAAGTTTTGGGTATTTGTCCAGAACTTATTTATGCCACTACTGTTTGTTTTCCAGATGAGATGTTCTTTCAAAAACCTACAGTGCTTAGTTCCCAATGTATGTGAAAAGAGTTACAATAAACTATGGAAAAAATCAAACCTACAAGTACAATAAATTATAGCAAGAAGAACTTTTATAAAGATTTAGTGGATTGTTCACCATAAGCGCAACTAGGCTCCAAATTTGAGGTGTGCAGCACCATTTTTTTTTTTTTTTTTTCACTGGAAAATTTTGAAATTTTCCTCTTATGAGCTCCTCACTTTCTTCTTTCTCCTGTAAAAATTTCAAAATTTTCCCGTTGCCAGTTTTCTAGAAAAAAATTTAAATGCAAGAGGTGAATTTTCCTTAATTTTGCCTAAATAAGTCAATTTTCTTTGAATTTTTCCTGGAGTGATTTATCACTGGAAAATTTCGAAATTTCCCTATAATGAGCTCCTCACTTTTCTCTTTTTCCTGGAAAATATTCAAAATTTTCCCTTTGCCAGTTTTCCAAAAAAAACTTTAAATGTGAAAGGGTGAATTTTCCTTAATTTTGCTTAAATAACTCAATTTTCCAGAATTTTTTCTCGAGTAATTTTTTACTAAAAAATTTTGAAATTTTCTTACATTGAGTTCCCCACTTTTTTCTTCTTCTTCTGGAAAAATTCCACAATTTTTGCTTTGCCAGTTTTCCAGAAAAAAAAAATAAAATGTGAAAGGATGAATTTTGCTTAAAAAAGTCAATTTCCAGAACTTTCCTATCAACTTTCCTCTTTCCTCTACCCTATACTTTAGGGTAAGTCTTGATTTTAAGGTAATATTGTAATACCGGCCCCAGTTGAATAATTTTGTTCCAAGGCAGTAATAATTGCCAACGTGCTCTATGAATTAATCAACGACAAATACTTTTTTCTAAATTATGACGTCATCGATGGCGTAAGTAAGTAAAAAAATGCAAAAAAAAATAAAATAATTTGGTTGCACTAATTTTTTATATGTGTTAGGTAGTGCTATGGTGGGATGCCGAATAGGAGTGCTAATTTTTGCTTTAGCAAGCACCCCTCTAGTTGCGCCTATGTTGTTCACATGTACTTACTTGAATAGAACTAAGAAATCTTTGGAAAACCCTTACAGTGGTCCATACTTTCATTTATACGAAGTTCAGTGATAAAACGAAGCAACCAAAAAATAACCACAATCAAAAAACTATCAAATAAAAAAACGCCACAAACAAAAAAAAAATAATTAGTTGACAATTATTTGAAAAATCACCTTGGGAGAGTGCGGAGCATTTTGATGGGCGGGCGGCGGACTACTCCTATTATAATAAGCCCTCGCTTCTGCCATCTGATGCGATGCGTTAGTAAAAAAGCAAGTTAATTTCAATAATCTAAACCTTCAACAAGTTACTTACCAAACTAGCTTCGTAAGCAGGCACTGGCAGTCCAGCTAATCTAGCTTGAGGTCCAGAAGGACTCAAATTCGGCCTGGCCAACATGATGTTTGGCAAGTTGACATCAATCTTGGGTGGTTCCATGACTCCTTTACCAGTTGGGGTTTGAATAATCCTTTGAGCTTTTAAAACGGGACTAGACAAATGTTGCAACGGATGTTGGGGCTTTGTTTTGGTACCCATAAGTACTTGCTGGTGCTTCATGTGAGCCAACTGGGTGTTGACGATTTGTTTTGAAGCCAGATGAGCCAGCTGTTGTTCTCTGGCTTGAAGCATCTGTTTTTGGTTGTTTAACAATAAATGTTGAGTGGGTGATAAAACTGGTGGTTTGACTTCGCCTACAGGTGGTGCTCCAGGACGTGGAGACATTGGACCGACACTTTGTAAGTTGACTGAAGTAGGAACGTTGTTGGGAGTGACTACTAGTGGTTTGGCTGTTGTAACAACGCTTGGAACAGTGTCCACAACAGGTGCTTTCTGCACTATAGGGGTTTCGCTTACAACAGCTTTGGCTGCTTGACTGCTCAGAACGTGTGCCTTTAACGAGTGAACTTTAGGAGTTGATTGCTGCACTACAGTGACTTGATGAGGCTGGGCTATGACACTAGGTTTGATTTCGTTGTTAATTTTTTCAGGCACAACTACTGGCGAACTTCCTGGCAATGGAATATATTTGCCTTCGTCTAATTCCTTTACTACAGTCATGACTCCAGTAACAGGATCGATTAAACTCGTATGCTCTTGCTTGTTGGCCGACATTTCCCCTTTGAATCGTTTCAACATGGCCGTTTTTAAACTACAATGATCCACTTTCTTTTCCTTTTTCTCTTCTACAACAGGAGCAGCAATTATTATAGGTTTTTCAATTGGAGGTTCTGCTAGTTTAACAGGCGACACCACAGGAGTTTCAACAGGTTTAACTTCCTCTTTTAAATCTTCACTTGAAGAATTTTCAGCTGCTTCGGAGGCTCGGCGTGATGGCTTGCGACCTCTAGGACTTTTTCTGGGAGTTTCATCGCTTATAACACCCACAGTTGCGGGTGGTTTCTTTGGCTGACGCCCGGAGCGTCTTTGATTGGCTCTTGTAAGAGGAGTATTTTTAATTACATCCTCGATGGTGTCATCCACAGTGGTTCTAGAAATATCTTTTTCAGCTAAACGTCTTGATTTTCTTGTGTTTGCTGCTTGTGGACTAGTGAACTCTTCCTTTGTTTCAGCAACTGGTGAAGGCTGTTGAACTACCACTGGCGGTGGTATTTCAACAACAACTTCTTTAGGTTTTACGACTTCTTTGCCAATTTCCTTTGCTCCATCTTTTGTAATTTCTTTAATAATGGCTGTTGGTTGAGCATTGCTAGTGCTGGATGTGGTAGATTTAATGGTGAGTACTAATCTGGGACGATGTTCTTTGTTGTCGTCAGAATCTTCTTTGAATTCATAAACGTCGTTTGTTGATTCTGACTCTGATTTGCTGGATTTTCGTTCGCCGCGTACTTTGCCGCCTCTACCGCGTTTGCTGGTTGAATTTATAACTGGTTGAGGGGTCGATTGGGCTTCTTTAAGCTTACCACGTCTAGTCTGAATACCACCACGGTCGGTAGTGGTTTTGATTGCTTTTGTGGTACCTCTAGGCCTACCACCGCGACCTCTACGTGCGCTGCTTTTTGGTATAAGAATTTCTGGTTCTAGTTTTTGATCTTTTTCTGCTTCATTTGATTTTTCGTTTGCCTCTGGGTTTTCTTCAGTAGGTTTGTTTTCTTCTGTTGGAGCTTCGGCTTTTTCCGGTGATTTTGGAAGTTCCTCTTTGTCTGTTGCAACTATTGCTGGAGGTTTGTCATCTTTGTGTTCATTGTCAGACAATTCATCAGCAGAATTTAAAGTTTTTATTACAGAATCAATATTGACAGTGTTATTTGACCAAAAGTCATTATCATCTTTGCTGCCTAAAGGATCCTCCTCAATTGTTGCTTTAACTTCTATAGGTTTATTATCTTCCTCCTTTATTGGTTCATCTTCAACTTTATCAACCACAACAGGCACTTCTTCAGTTTTCACCTCTTCAATTTTGCTCTCGTCTTCTTTAACCTCCTCCTCTTTAACTTCCTCCTTTTTCTCCAAAGACAAATTCAATTCGTCAGTCACTGTTTCAATGGCCAACTTCAATGGACTTTGTGGTGGCTCAACAATGGCTGCTTTAACTTCAGGATTGGGCACAATAACAGGACTAGGAGTTGAAGTTCTACATTCCAAAGGTGGTAAAGCCAAATGAATCGGCTCCTTGATTTCTGCTATTTGTTCTTTTTGAACAATTGGAGGTTCTTCGACAACTTCTTTGACTGGTTCCGGTGGAGTCAAGTCTTTGACAGGCGACTGAGGCAAATCTGGTGTAACAGCTTTAGGTGGTGCTTGTACAATAGTCGAAACTTGTTTATTACTATCCACACTTGGCGTCCCTTCGATAATAACAGACTTTGGACTTTGCCTTGCAGACAATGGTGCCACAAACGCAACCTGAGTGGGATTATTTGTAGATTGAATGTTGATTACTGGAGCAATGGTTCTTGGTGGTTCGTTTTCGGGTGGTAATTGAACGTAAGTTGGCGAAATATACTGTCCATAATTAGGATGACGTGTGGGCATTAGCAAACCACTAGGATGTCTTAGATTTGGCCTCATTATTCGAGGAGGCTGGGCTGGAGTGAAAGCATAATGAGGTGGATAAACCATTCTAGGTCTCATCTCAACTGTGGTTGTTAGTTTTGGTGGTTCTGATGTAGAATGAGCCAGTTTAGGCTGAGGCAAATACACTGTGGTAGGTTGTAGAGGTTTTGAAACCATTACTGGAGTGATTGGGAGTCGATTTAAAACAGCATTATTGACTTCTGGAGGTTTGCAAACTTGTACTGGTAAGTTGTGGCGTGAATGTTGCACTACAACCGGTGGCTCAACTGGTACCAAAAGTTTAGTTAATGGTGGATAGCTTGGTGGCACTACTACTACTGGCTTGGTTTGTTCCAAAGCAACTTCAGGTTTTGTTTCCTTAAAGGTTTGCGCAATAACAGTTCTTTGCTCTAATTCAACTGGCTCAACAATCTTTTTAACTTCAGCCTTAATAGGAGTGAGTGATGGTGGACTTGGCAAACTTTTATAAGGTACTTTTTCAAAGTATTGCGCCTCAGGAGTTTTAGGTCTTTGTTCGCTTTGCGAAGCATCCTCTTCAGTGTCTGTATCGATTTGCAATTCATGTTCGCTTTGGGGTGTGTCTGGTTTAGAAAGTTCCCCGTCTACTTCGAGACTTTGTACTGCTTTGCGCATTTCTTCGTCGTCTTGAACTATAACTTCTTCCACTAACTCTGGAGGTGCTTCTTCAGTTGAAGTATTTTGCTCTTCTGTAAATTCGAATTGATGTGTGCTACCGCCAATCGAATGAAGTAAAGCTGCCACAGCATCTTCGGTTTCTTCTTGCGATATAACCACTCTTGGTTTATCTTGGGGTTGCAAGTCTACACTAGCCTCATCTTTGGTTTCTTCTTTTTTTACATCAGTAGCTTCTTCAATTTTACTATTAATAATAACTGAAGAAGGTTCAGATATGGACTTGATAGCGTCAATTTCGGCACCAAATGCTGGCAGGATTTTTTCCCGTTTAACTTTTGCAGAAGTTGGTGTTTTTGGTATAGGACTAATAAGCGGTACCATATCGCGCGTGTTTGGAGAAATGATAAATTCTGGTTTTTCATTTGTGGGGCTTTGTACGTCAACTAAACTCGGCAAACTTTGACTGTGGCTGCTCCCTGGAGTAGTAGGTGGAGGAGGCGGAGGACTTTTTTCTTTTTCCACTTTGATTTCTGGAATGTCTAAAGATAGAGGCGGCGGGGGTTCAGGAATTTCTTGTTTCACTTCTAAGTTTTTGGAAACTTTATGGTGATGATGGTGGTGATGATGTTTCTTTTCGTCTTTGCTCTTCTTGCGTTTCTTTTTCTTTTCCTTCAGTTCTTTACGTTCCTCTCGTTCCTTTTTGATATCATCATCGAAATTGTCTACTTCAACCTCAGAAGTGTCATCTTTAATGTTAGCTTCGAGTTGCTTAGACATATCGGCTAAATCCATGCTGTTATCGTTACTGTTTGGTGGTTCTTCTGCCGCTGCAGCTGCAGCTTCTTGTATGCGGCGTTCTTTTTCGCGCCGCCTCTTTTCTTTTTTGCGTTTATGTTCACGCTCCTCTTGGATTTTATTGTCTTTGTCCGAGTCTGTGTTGTAAACTGTAGGCACCTGAGCGTTTTCGTCTACAATAAACGTAGGTTTGTTGTTGCCAGATGGTTCAGAATCTTCCGATAGCGATCCAAAGATGTTTTCCATTTTGCCTTCGCGTTTAGGTTCAGTTTTGTCTTCGGATTTACTTTTCTTGGATTTTTTCGATTTGTCTCTACCTTCTTTTGTTTTATCACGTTTCTTATCCTTTTTGGAGTGATCTTTTTTCTTTTCGTGATGCTTTTTCTCTTGCAGATCATCCACCATTGAATCGGTTGTTTCGATTTTGCTCGATTCTTCACTGCTGACTGAATGTTTTTGTTTCTTCTGTTTCTTTTTATGTTTCTTTTCACGTTTTTCGGATTTTTCTCTTTTAATTTCCTCGTCTGAAGTATTTTCAAACACTGATCGATTATTGAAATCAGTTTTGACTTCAGATGGTTCAGTGTGAAGCACATCAAAATCTGTTTGTCCGAACTCTTGAAATTTACTATTTCTCCGCTCTTTTTTAACCAGCCTTTCCAATTCACTCTTAACAGAAGTGATTTTTTCGTGTTTAACTTCCAATTCTGGCTCAGTATCATTATCAAATAATGATTTACTTTTTTTCTCATATTCAGTATTAGAATTTAATTTATTTATAGTTTGTTTCTCATATTCATCTCCCGAGCTATCACTAGCTATTCTAGATTTCGATGTTTTAAACATTGGATGTTTTAATTTAATATCCTCATCAGTGCTGTCTTTAGAGCGCAAGTGCAAGGAATTATCAGAATCGCTATAAAGCATGTCTTTACGTTTGTGATGGTGGCCTTTTCGTTCTTGACTTTCATCTGAACTGTCTAACAGTTTTCTGCTTTTACGTTTAACATCTACATCCTTGTCTGAGTCACTGTCCTCATCCCAAGAAGTGGAACGTTTCTTTTCCTCCCTCCTTGCTCTGCTCAATTTAAGTTGGCTAAATTTGGCTTTGATTTTCTCTTGCCGTTTTTCTTCTTCTTGCTTTTGCATATTCTTGCAACTTCTTGCTTTCACCTTATCGTACATTGAGATGTATGGTGGGCCATCATCCACAATGTCGAATATTGAATGTTTCTTGGGCTCGTCCGAGTCACTGTCTGAGCTATTAGTGATTTTTCTGATGCGATCTTTTTTGTGTTTGTGTTTTTCAACGTCGGTTTGTGGGGATTTTAATGGAGAATCGCATTTTTTGTGTTTATCAGGGTCCATGTTGTCTTTGGAGCGCCGTTCTCTTCTTAATTTGTCCCGTTCGATTTCTTCGTTACTGCGCAAATTTAGTTTGGCTAAAAAGTCTTTGTCGTTTATTGAACTCGAGTCTGATGGTGGTAAAAGAATATCGACTGGAGATTCAGATTTGCCGTCTGTTTCTCTGCTTTTACTTTTAGATTTTTGTTTTTCTAGTTTGTGTTTTTTGTGTCTTTCTTCACGCTCCTTTTCTTTTTCTCTGCGTCGTTCCTCGCTGTGTTTCTCGTGCGAATTTGAACAATTGTTTTTGTGTTTACTCTTTTTGTCACTTTTAGTGCTGTCTTTTGAGTCTCTGCGTTCTTTTTTATCGTGTTCATGTAGTTTGATTTTTTTAGCTTCATCTTGTTCTAAAGTTTCATGCGAACTCAGGCGTCTTTTCAAACCGACATTACTTGGTAAGCTATTGTTGCGCTCTTTTCGTCTATTTGGATCTAGAATTGAGTTTTTGTTGTCCAAATCCAAGGACATGTGTCTAGTTTCTACTACAGCTCTATCTTTGGTTTCGATTGCTACGAGTTTGTGTTTATCGTGGATATTGTTGTCTCGGTTTTCTTTGATGCTTTCTTTTCTGCGTTCAGCGTCACGTTCAATTTGTGTTTTCAGGTTTACATATTTGTTGAGGGTGTTTTCTTGATAGATAGAGGGTTTTTCTTCTTTGGTTGTACTACTGTGTTTGGATTCGCTATGATTTTCTCTATGTTTAGATTCACTGTGATTTTCTCTATGTTTGCTACTACGTTCGTGATGATTGTCTGATGGTTCTTTATTTTTAGTATTGGTTCTGTCTTCACTTCTTTTACGCTCTTTTTCTTTTGCTTCTTCTTTTGCTTTTTGTTCACGTTCTTCTTTTTCTTTTCGTTCGGCTTCTAGTTTTTCTTTAAGCTCGCGTTCTAGTTTTTCTTTTTCGAGACGTTCTTTTTCTAAGCGTTCCCGTTCCAGGTTTTCTTTTTCTAGACGTTCTTTTTCTAATTTAGCCTTCTCTTGTCGTATTCGTTCTTTTTCTGCTTTTTCTTTTTCCCGTTGTATTCGTTCTTTTTCTAGCCGTTCTTTTTCCAAGCGTTGTTTTTCCAATTCACTCTCCCTCTCCAAGCGTTCCTTTTCCTTTCTCTCCCGTTCCAGTCGTTCTTTTTCTTGTTTTTCTTTTTCCAATCTTTCTTTTTCAATTCGTTCTTTTTCCTCTTGCTCTTTTGTTTGTTTCTCGAATTCCTCTTTGGCCTTGTCAGCGAGTTTTTGCTCTTCGCTTTTCGTTTTTTCAGTGTCCTCTATCCGACGGGCGCACGTATCACTATTGCGTCGCGTTTTAACGTCCGCCCTAGGGCTAGTACTGCTCGAATTCCTTCGTAAATTCACTTTCTCACTGGGTTTTGAGGCTTTAGGTACGTCACTAACTACAGAAGGCGCTACACTATTACGATTTTTTATGCTAGAAGTTCGTGAGGAGTCACCGGGAACGTTCACCGACGGTTTCAGTCTATTATTTTCACCGTGACTAGGGTTCCGCACAGTAACACTACTACTTGTACTTATTGTTAAGGTTGAAGGAGACGGAGGTGTGGATATAACACTTGTTGTTGTTGTTGTTGTGATTATTGTTGTTGTTGCTGTTGTTAGTGCTGAAGGTGGCGGTACTGGTGACATTTGCAACGGGGGATGGCTGGGGAAAGGATATTGAAGACCTCTACTTGCTGCAATGGGTAATGTTGTTACACCTAAATCGATTTGAATTATAATTATTGATTGCCCTTGGTGGGTTTGTGTAGTGACTTACCTGAAGACCTGGGTGATAATGTGGTAGGGGTTTTGGGCAACTGAGAGGTGACTGAGGTAGCAATAATTTTCAAAGTGGGTGCAATCACAGTTAGAGGAGTGGCACTGATAGTGCTCACGCTGCTCACAGGTGTTGTTGGCGTTGCAATCGTAGACGGTAATCGGCTATAGGAAAACAAGTTTGTATTATTGAATTAAATGTTTGTTAAGCAACTAACCAAAATAATCCGAATTCTTTGGGTTCATATTTTTCACCCACACTCTCTAGCCGCTTTAAATCTTCATCAAACACTGACCTTTTGGCCATTACACTTTTCACTATTTCAGACGGTTGTACTTCTTTGAGATCTTGTATTTCTAGCAACTTGTGCCTGAGCCTAAATTTCTCCCTATTCGCATCCAGTAAAGCCAGCGCATCATTTCCAGCAGCACTTAGTGCCCTACTACCCGACCATTTTTCGTATTTTTCATCTAGCGACTTAATTCTTTCGTCTAGTGAAGGACTGGTGCCAGTTGCTCCGTCACTATCACTAGAATTCGAACTTAAACTTGGAGGTCGCGGAGGTGGTGAAGCTGGAGGCGGAACATGTTGCAGGGGACTAGGAGGCCGAGGCAGGTGCATATGTGAAACTCTAGGGCTGGTCGCCGCCGGAGGCGGACTAGCCAAAGGGTTCACGTGCTCTTTTTGGCCCTTGATTCCGGCTACCGAAATCGTACCACGTTGGAATTCTGGTGTAACCCTGACTTGCGCTGCCCATTTTGGTAAAGGCAACAGCATGGGACCTTCGCCTCGTTCTCTTGTGGTTCTTTTGGGAGGTTCTCCTGGTGGGAATTCAGGATTTTCGTCGCACAATGGTGTACCCGGTCTGGAACCTGTTGCTTGCTCTGAACCGTCAGAATGTTCAGCCTTGACAAATATTGATGAGTATACGGTCGAATAAGTGCAACAAATTAAAAACTTACATAATGTGAGTGAGTGCTCTTTGTTACTCCTCCATCGCTGCCTCCCGTTCTTCTTCGTTTGCAGCCCACTGTATGAGGGGCATAGTGACTATATTTGTTGTCCACTGAAGGTCTACGAGAATGATGACGTAGCGTTGACTCTGAGAGTTTCCGCACTTCCATGACCTAAAAATAATATTAAAAACCCTAAAAATTGACAACTTTTAAAACATTACCTTTCTGTTGTGATCTCGATTCGCTTCAATGATAACATCCCCGAGGGTTGGATCCAATAGGTCTAGCTTCAAACGTTTCTTAGGGCTGATAATTTCGTCGCCCGAACTGGGACAATCTTCCAGCTGCTCCAAAAGGTGGACGCGCTCCTTTTGCAAATTGCGAATGTCGTGCGGAGCATAAGGAACTGCGTCCACCAAGTTTTGTACTACACGTACCTGCGGATGAAGAAACTTTTTTCAAATTAGATAAAATTTGTGTTTGTTTGCATTAACTCACCTCCAACGAGTCTAAGTGGCCAGGGCTGTCGTGCAAATACGCTACTGGATGATCGTAGGGATCGTAAGGATCTTCGTGAGAGGCGGCCGAGCCTTGGCTATACTCGTCATAGCTTCTATGGCTCGTTGTATGCCTGACACTTCCTTCTACTAAAGCAGTGGCAGGATACTCCAAGTCGTATTCGTAATAGCGTACACGACCTCGCCCAGCGCGTGGTGTTGCACTTCCTGGTGTCCCTGGTGAGGCAATTGCTGCTGCTGATGATCTACTCGAGTAGCTGGATGTTCTGGGACGCGTTGGAGTATCGTACCTGGATATCCTGGATGGTGCACTAGATTCAAAACTCCTTGTACTCGATCGATCTTCGAAGCCCGCTCTATCCAATACGGTGCCTTGTTTTTCAAGCCTTTCGAAAAAACACTCTTGACACTCTCGACTCGCGAAATCCACTTGCAACTTCACATTTTTCAACACGAACCCCCGCATTTTATTAACAGCTTGCTGAGCTTGCGACACGTGCTCGTAAAACAACAGCGATTGCCCTTTTTCCCTATCAATAATACATTTGGTGATCGTGCCGAACGACTCGAACTGCATTCTCAGGTACTTTTCGTTGACGGTTTCCGCGACTCCGTCGATCCACACGCAGCTATACGCCATAGACTTACCGAACCCGAGCTTGATCCGGTTGTTGCCCAGGTGTTCACCGTCCATTTTCCGAATCGCCTTTACCACACTGATAATGTCCGAGTATTGGCAAAAAGCGTACGAACTCACAGCCCCTTGTTTCTTAATGTCGATTTCGATTATTTCTCCGAACTGATCGAAGTGTTTCCTGAGATCTGATGCGGTCACGTCTTTTTCCAGGTTGCCGATGAACAATGTACGAGTCGCTTTCGGATTGAACTCGTCGATTTCCGACTCGTAGCGACACTCGACTTCGTCGATATCGCATACGGCATAAGGAGCCACCTAATGGGGAGAAAGAAATACAATCAAATTCTAAGATTATTGAATATAATGAAGCTTAACTGGATTGTCTAGAATCAATTTATATCTAGCAAGTTTTGCATTATTATTAATGAGGATGTGATTGTAAAGCCTGCTATCATACATATATGTATATCTATGAATTTAGTGCTGAATTACAGAAGCTCTGCAACAGCAAGATACAAATGCAGGACCTGCAAGTCTGACTTTTTGTATTACAGAAGCAGAATGCATTTGCAAGTCGCCTGCAAATTTGCGCATAGTGAAACGGTCCTGTAAGTTCTTGTAGTCACTTTGACATTTCAAACTGAAAAATCAGTAGCGCCCAAACACTTTTTTGACAAATATGACGGACTTGCAGGTAATTTGCTCGTTCCTGCAAATAGAGCACATCTACAAGTCGGCCATATTTGCAGAACTGCAAATTTGCAGATGCAAATATAATGTAATTGGGGCCTTAGCCTTTTAGCCTATCCAAAATACGTGACTTTGACAAGTTTGTGGGCCTCTTGGCCAATGCTCTTGGCGGACATTTTTAAGTTTGACAGCACCTTGAATAGTCAGCCTCGCCTATCCAAAATACACTTGGCCAATCATAAAACTGGTACGCATTTTCCTATTGTGTTGTATTGTGTAAATCGGCCTCAACAGTGACAAAATAATCAGAAAATTGGACATTGGAAATGATGAGATAAAAATGCCGAACTATAGTAGCAACATTAAGAGTTGCTCATTTAAGTATCAATCAATGAAGTGATTATATCCGGCTCAATTCTAATCAAGAGCCGGGAATAGTCAAACTTTGAAATTTGATCCAACCGGTATCAAAATAATTTTTAAATTATAAACTATAAACATACATTTTTTCGAATGAGACACCCTGTAGGTATATTATTAACTCATTGGATAGTTTTGCTTTAGCTGATTTCAATTGTCCAATGTCTGTACTCACAGTACCTAATCACAAACCAGTAAGAGCGGTTTTGATTGGTACAAATCGTCAACCACCAATTTTCTGACTGTTTTTAACCAATGAAATTCGCTCTGATAAGTTTGTAATTTCTGTGTGAAAGAACGGTCTCTTTCTAAAACATTGTTTCTTATTCTTATAACAAAAACAGATACATTTTTTTTTCTCGAAAACTGTGCAACAAAGTATCTCTTATGTACAATTAAAATGGGATACCCTGTACAATGCAGTAGACTGGAAAAAATGTGAATGTAGCAATACCTTGAAATTTTGGGAAAAATATAACTTCTATTGATTACCCTGTATATATTAGATGTAAACAGGAAAATGTTATAATCGTGAATCCCCATAGAACAAAAATTCTTGCGAACCATGAGTTTCTAAAAATATTTCCATTTGAATTATTACCTATACAGGGTGGTCATTTAACTTGACATAAGTCTAATATCTCGGAAAAAAACGTGTTTTTGAATAAAAATTTACGCTGTGTGCTTAAGACCACACGACAGAAAAGTATATTCCTGGACAAAATTATCGCACCACTGCACATAAGCACCACCATAAGTAGTCGTGCGATAATTTTGTCCAGGACTATATTTAAAAACGTAGGTTAAATAAAGAAACATCCCAGATGCTTGACCTTTGCCGCCATATTTAATCCTGGCATTTGTGGTTTGGATCAAGTTTGTTTAAAAAAGGGAAGTTACCTAGAAAGTTGTTTGAAAGAAGAAGGTTGCCTGATAACTTTTATAAAGTTATCTGGGATGTCTAAACATAATGCAAATCTCCATTAGGTCCTCGTGATGACGTCATTTGTTCACCATTACCAAACAACCTATTAATTTTGGGAACAGCCTGATAACTTTTATGACGTGATTTCATCTGTATGCCTGAACATAATGCAAATCTGTAGAAAGAACCTGATGACGTCCTCTGTTTACCATTACTAGACAACCTTTAATAAGCAATCAACATTTTGCCAACGATATCGATAATGTCGCCAAAATTTTGAGGGAGTCTGGATTACCTAAATCCCAATTGCGCTCCAAGTTTTGGAAAAATAATAACTTCCATTGACCAATCTGCATAGTAGCAGTAGCGGTGTAAACAGAAACATTTTAGCTTGACTTTTGCCACCATATTGAATCTTGCCATTTGCAGTTTGGATCAGGAAGGAACCTTGGGTTGGGTTGCCTGGATTACTTTCACGACGTGACGTCATCTGTATGCCAAAATATAATAGCTCCTTTTTTTCTAACACCTATCTTAGCTAACCAAGTTGTTTTGAAAAAAAGGACCGTATGTTTATTTAAGGTTAGGATCCTTCGTCCATCTATGTGCACGCCTGAACTACAAGCTCAGGTTACAAGTAAGAATTTCAAAGTTAGCTTACATAAGACAGTATGCAGAAAAAAAGCAGCTCATGCAAATCTTTTAACCACCTGATGACGTCATCTAGTTGCCAGTACCAGACAACCTTTTACAAACAATCAACATTATTTTGCCAATGATATGGGCAACGTTGCCGAAATTTGTTCTAAGGAGAGTCTCAATTGAATCTCAATCGCGCTATATATGTCTCTCACTCGCTCTGCTGCCTGTTTCACTCTCTCGCTTGACGCTGAACTCGGCTCGAGCCGACCGTATCTGACCGAATCGTTAATAGTTCGGGCGTAACCAAGGTTCCTAAAGTTGATAGGTTGTCTGGAAAGAGGTAACTCGATGACGTCATCTGGGGTGCTTTACAGAGGCTTGTATTATAGCCGTATTCGTTTTTGTCATTTTTTTCGTCGATTTGCTCCGAAATTTTGACAGGCACGTGACTGGATCAGACAGTTTCAAATTACAAATCACGTGCCTGTCAAAATTTCGGAGCAAATCGACAAAAAAGATGACACAGGCTATAGCAAATCGAAAAAAAAGATGACAAATACGAAAAAGGCTATTGTTGAGGCATCCCTATGTTGCTAGTTGTTGATAACAATAAAATTGTTTCGTGAATTATTAATATTAATTAAAGCTGACAACACTGCATATATGTTAAAATGAAGTTGTAGACAGATGGCGTATGTCAAGTGAAGAATGTCGTTTTTTAAGTTGGGCGTTGGCTGTTGACGTTTTTGTTGAATGTTTTGCCTCCACGAGTATTTTTCTTATTTTTCAATAGAATAAACTTAATTCAAAGTTGTCTGGATTATTATTTGTTTGCTGACAATATCCATTGCGCTACACCCCAGATGACGTCATAAAAGTCAACTGACTTTTTTTTTCTCAAAAAAGGCGTCGTTTTCGAGATATTGAATTTTCTTAAGTTGAATGGAACACCCTGTATATTGAATAAAATTTAATTCTCCTTTATGCTAGTCATTAGACAGTGTTGCAACATCGTGCAAAATTTTCCCAACTTAAAAGATTTATGGTTTATTGTGCACCAAGTGTTGGAAAGAGTAGCACACGCATTATACTGTTCATTTTTTTCCTATTACTGCGAAATAAATAAATTCACATTGCGTTGAAATTACCAGAAAAATGAAGCAAAACTTTTTATTAAAAGAAAAAGTTACGTCGGCTGAATGCATAGCCTCGTGTGGGAGTTTATGGGAAAATGTCAAATTTAAATGTGTCATAATATTATTATAAATAAATAAACATCATTGTTTTTAAACAATTTGCAATTTGCATTATCTGAGTGTATAAAACTTATCCAGTAGCTGTGGTCAGGGGTAAGTTAAGTATGCTTTTCTAGAGCCTAATTTTCCATTTCGGACTTCAGGAGCATGGAACACCGAAATAAAGGTTGGTGGAAAGCACCTTAGGTCAGGAGTAGGAACGCGCCATTCTGCATGAAACAATAGCGTTTTCCATTTGTCGAATCAGTGCAAAAAAAATGTATCCCTATCCTTACATGTTACATGCTTTTAGAAAAAGATGTGGATACACTCAGTGGGCACTGATTGACAAATGGAAATGGCCATAAAGTGAAGCCAAGTTTTTGGCAGGTGTTTGGCACCAAAATACAGGTAAATCCATTTTTTTGGTGTCAGACAGAATACCTGAAAAAAAAAGCTTCATTTTCCAACTCCATGTCACAGTTTTCCATGTTACCACTCCTCTTTACCTTTCCCTGCTCTAAGAATGAATAGAATTGTGAAATCGTTTGTCGATGAAAGTTGTCCGTTTATTTTTATTATTACGAAAATTCTTACCTCGATCTTACAGCCAAAAAACAGCTTATCATAGCTGACCTCCAAGGCTTTCTCGGCGTCCTCCGGTTTCTTAAAACAAACGATCGCGTGCCGGTCAGCATTTTGACCGACAATTTTCACCCACGTCACTTTACCGTGCTTTTTGTACTCGTGAAACAGACCGTCTTTGAGCGAAGTATCGCTAGAACGTACCGGCAAGTTGCGCACGCAAATTCCGAGCGGTCGCCGGTCGTCGGACGCGGTCGCGTTCTGCGCAGAAGATTTTTTATAGTGCTTGCGATGTCTGCGCGTCCGCGACGGCGAAGAAGTCGACGAGGTACCGCGCGACGTTGATGATGACGACGAACTGCTGCTACTTCTTGAACCAGACCTGGATGGAGATCGCGTACTGGTACTACCGTTGGGCGATGGAGATCTTGAGCCAGACCTGGATGTGGTCTTTTTCCTAACGTTGCTGTCCGAATTGCGCCGGTCGTTCGTGTCGGACGACGGCGCCGAACTATACCCTGTTGTGTCCGACTGTATTCTTTCATTACTATTATTATACCTGGAACAAAAATCACCAATCAGGAGTGCAATTCAGGAAGAATAACAGGCACATAAAGTATAAAGGAAGCCATTAAAAAAGCTCCTATTGTAAGGGTCAAGAAATTTTATTGATCTATTTAATATTTGTTTTATAGTCGAGACCAGGCCAATTATATGACGATTTAAAAGGAAGCCAGTTAACCCGTGGTTGAATTTATTGCCGATAAAAACCATTATCTGTATCCTTTAATCGCCCCTTAGATTATTTTTATTACTAAAACAATCACATTTATGCCTTTGATTCTTTATAAGTAGACAATTAAAAAAATGTTCAATTACCTGGACGTGTTCGTGTTCGTATATATTGTAACGGGGGCGGTGGCGTTTGATAGTAATAAATAAAAGTTATATACTCGACAAGAAAAAGGGTTTATTTGTCACTCATTTGTAAAACGTCAGTTATCAAGTCAAAACATAAACAACGAAAATTGATTTTTACAAGGCACTGGCTCTACTGACTTGTAAAATTGACAGCTAAACTGTAAAAACTTTTTACAAGTCAGTAGAATTATTTATTTTTAAAAAATCAGTTTTATCATAATAATAATTGCTTGTAAGTACGTTCTGGAAGACTTATCTTGTGATAAAATGTTAGCTACGACTGTGGTTTCATTAATAATATCTTCTGGCACATTCATTTCTGGAAAAAAATTGCAAAATGCAAATCTTCCAGAAAACCTGTTCATAACTAGAAATAGCGACTTAACAACATCTCATTCTTTTGGGTATACCAACTACCAAGGCTTGTATGACAAAAAATCAAGGAAAAAAATTAAACTTTTGAAAATTTTGTAATGTATCAATTTTTTATTTGTTCCTATAGTTTTTACAAATGAGTAACAAATAAATTATTGTACATTATACGCCAGGTAGCAGTTTTTACTGGCTCTTGAAGGTGACAAGCTCGCCTGACGGCTCGCTAGTCATTTCCTTCAATCGCCAGTAAAAACTGTTTTACCTGGCTAATAATGTAAAATACTATTACTGTGTTCCCAATCTATTTCCACAATCGTTAAATTGAATAACTGTGACAGGTTATGGGCCCAGATTATCAGAAGATTGGATAAGAATACAGTAAAAAGTAAGAAAAATGGCTAGTGCAGTGGTAAATTTTCCTCAGCAATTTCAACAATTGGAAATTTATAATAATCACATAACTAGAAGAGGGGCAAATAACACAAGTATTGGTAAAAACCGAGACTGATTTTAGTACCAAGAGAGAGAGAGAGAGAAGTCACAGTTTGAAGCTAATGATGCAAGAGGAAAAAGCATAATAGACCAGTGTTTAATTGATAAACACTAAGACCTAGTTAAGCAATCAAAAATGGCAAAAGAAGTGATGAAAGACATAAAATGTATTCAGAAAGTTAACTTTGAAGCGTAATTTACTCACTTTAAAGATCAATAGAGACCTGAAAAATTAGAAGATTATTTTTTGATATTGTTACGATAAATTTATCATTCACGTAACATGTTCCATCTCTTCTTATTTTCATTGTAAAGCTGTATTTTTTCCATTTCAGAATCAGCAAAATAATAATTCCTAATATTTTATAAAAGTATCCACAAAGTTCAAAATAGTACAGGTACTGCCATCTATCCATCATGTGCGTAAAATGCGAGTATCTATTGAATGAAGGTACTGCCATCTAGTACCTGATGGATTTATTTTTCAATTTTCGCATTTGACAGTCATTTGTATTTTCATTGAAAGAAATTATTTTTATTACACTTTTAGCAAATGGATATATTTAGGTCTTTCTCTAACTTCTGATTCTGAAATAATCATTTTTTGGCTTAGGGCCAAATTATGGACCAAGTGGTAAGTGTCTGGTTGTTACCTGGCAGGTACTTTCTATTCTCTAGTGCATAGAAAGTACCTGCTAGGTAACTACCAGACGTTTACCAGTCAGTCCATAATTTGGCCCTTATTAATAACCTAATTAATTAACAGTTTTTTTATTTTTGACATAACCTTGATTTAAATTATTATAATTTGTAAACAAATAAAATAATTCTAGTGGATTTTTAATTATTCTCTTTTATTCCACGTGGGTTTTCATCATGATTTCATTGTAAAGTGAATATGATATTTTGGGTGTACTCGTCTGATTGGTTGAACTGGTGGAAATGCAGTTAAGTATAAAAAAACACAGGATCGTTTTCTTGTGGGGTTTGGTTTCTAAAACGTTCTCTTTTCTCGACAGAAGTCTGGCAGGCAAGTCCTTTTTATTTTTAATAATTTTTGCTCTTTATTTTTGGATTCTCCCTTATATATTTTTCAATATATTTTGCTCATCTCATCATCTAGTTTTTTTTGTAGAAATTTACTTAATTCTTCTTGTCATTTTGCCTGTTTCTGTTATACCCGTAGCAAACCCTATGGCTCTTTCCTCCGCCTAATTTGCAATAAATTTTAAATCGCTATCATGAAGGATCCAAGGTCAACCGGCCCAACAGTAGCCCAATGCAATAATCGCGATGAACCTCGCATCTTTATTGGCATTAACTTGTTGGGAGTCGTATAGTTCGACGTGCGTTACAATATATTTTAAACGGCGCATTCAATACCCTTAATTTTTTTTATCTAATTGTTGGCTTCCATTTTGTGTGAGTGTCGATTGGTTATGCCACGTTTATCTGAGTTAAGTCAATTCAGATTTTTGCACTGGACCATTTGCTCTAAATAGAGTCGGTGAAGACCAAATTTGTGTGTCCATCCCTATCAACTCTTTATTGAAACCAGGCAGAGGCCTGAATAGCCATTTTCTGTTTGACTCCGTCAATTATTATCTCGACTAAAGGCTATAACTTTTCAATAGAAATCCAAACAGGTCAAAAAATTCAGTTAAAAAGTTTTAATTAAAACATCTCAAGAATTATGACATATACTGGATTTATTAATTTCACCGTCAGACCAAATTATCGATCCTCTATCTCAGATTTTCCATTTAATTTTTTTATCGCAAGTAAAACGGCTTCGAACATGACTGAGCTATTAACTGTCAAACTTTAACTCTTTTAAATTTAATTTTAACATTCTCACTACATGTTGGATTTTGAGTGGTTTCATTTGCACATAAAAGGGCTACACGTTATCTTAATTTTTTGAATTCCACGACCCTAAGTTCTCGTATCTTAAAGTTCAAATAACCGGTGTTTATTTGTAACAACGCATTGGACCTGAACTTCCTGAATGAGCTGGCCAGCTGAGTGGAGTTTGGAAGGTAAGGTGAACAAATATCCTTTTCAGTTTACAGAAAGTAACATTTACTGTTACTCTATGTTACTATATAACATTGTAAACAAAATAAAATTATTGTTTGTTGGAATTTGAGTGGTTTCATTTGTACATAAAGGGATTACACATTATCTTAATCTTTTGAATTCTACGACCCTATAGGTTATCTTTTCTCAAAGTAACAAATGTCAATTAATTTGTAACAATATTTGACACACTGATGATAGATTTGGAAAATGCAGGTTCCAAACTGGATAAAGAAGACAATTGTTTGTCATTTATTGTTGTGTTTAAATGAAGAATATGAATCAGTCATACCAACCATAGAAACTATGGATACAAGCATCAAAATGGAGTTTGTTCAATTAGGGTTATTAGATGAGGAGATTAAACTTGAAAGTAAACAATTAAACCTGGTTATACTAGTAACCTGACATTCCATGCTAATATTAAAACTTGATTATTTCTTATAAACCTGGACCTTATAGACAATTGACTGGAGGACTAATGTATGTGGCAACAACTAGTAGACCTGATATTAATTATGCAGTATCATATTTAAGCAGATTTTTAAGACTGCCTAACATCAGAAACATGGACGGCTGGAAAAGGAGTACTAAGGAACTAAAAAAATGGGATTCACTAGAAATACAGATTATCAGATAATGCTCAAAGGACATTCAGATGCTGATAAGAAAGATAGGAAAAGTGTAAGTGGATACATAATTCCATATGGAGCAAACCCGATATATCATAATTTGCACAAAAGCAAACTTGTAGCATTATCTACAGCAGAAGTTGAATATGTATGTGGTACTTAGTTTAAGACCTAAACATCAAGGGTATTTTAAGAAACTTTAATTTATTTGACAAAGCTATTCTGTTTTGTGCGAGGGACAAACCACCTAGTGAAAATGTGTACACCAATTGCCAAACTGCCAAATAATGCCGTTTACTGCTTATAATGTTGTTTACTGCTTGTAATACCATTTATTTCTGAATAATGCCATTTACTGCTGAATAATGCCATTACTGCCTGTAATGCTTCTTATCGTTCAAATATCGACAATTTTTGAGAAAAAACACCACCGACAGATGTCGTGATAAATCACAAATATTGCTAGATCCTGCTAAATAATAATAGTTATTGATGAATAATGCTTATTACTGCCGAATACTGCTCGTTACTACCAAATAATGCTAGTTATTGCCAATAATGCCAGTACTGCCACCTGTTTGTACACCAACTGCCACTAGTGGTTGACCCCTCGGTTTTGTGATACCTAATAAAAACGCAATCCTAATATCAAAAAGCAATGAAAACTCGAAAAGGGTCAAACACATTGACATCAAGAATCAATTTTAAAGATCTGATCTTAAAGAAAGAAATTGTAATTGGATAATGAGAGATTTTTTTTAATTACCTGGACGTGTCCGTATATGTTGTAACGGGGGCGGTGGCGCCCCAAACGCCGGCCGCGCCGCCTCGGTGACAGCCGCCCCCACGGAACCGATCGCGGTTCCGGCCACCTCTGCAGGTACCGGAACCGGCTTCGGGGGCGGCCGAGGTGGGGGCGGCACCGACGCTGCCGCCAGTGCGATCGTAGAAACGAGTCGAGGCGCCGCCGACTACTATGTTGCTCGGGTCAGGGAAACCGTGCTCTTCAGAGGATCTAAAAAATAGAAAATTGTGTGTATTGAATAATAACCGAAGTCCTTTATTTTCTTTGTTGGTTGGATGCAAATTTGCAAACGACGCATCCGTGTATAGAAACTACTTCCTACGTGGTTTACGATTGGTGATCATTAGCGTACACACAACTACATCATAAATATTCAAGTATAAGAAGAATGTTACTCTGACTCTCTGACGTAAAAAAATCTAAATTTACATCAAGTCCACAAATCATTTGGCTTATTTTCGTCTGGCTGTTTATACGACGTAGACGAATTCCAGAGACGAGTGGAAATCGCCGCTACGCCACTGAAAATTGAAACAATGGCCCAACCAACACCGACATCCTGTTTGTCACAAATCACCCACCCAGACTGGTTTTCTCTTTGCTCTAGATGCATTTTTTATTTTGTATGCTTCACGGCTGGTGTATTCGCTCTTTTGTCTTTCTCCGTTACGGAATTGTGAATTGCCAACTACGAAATACTCCCTTCAGTCCCTTGAAGTCATTGTTTTCAAAGAGATCTGTTGATATATTAGTTGAAGAGATTCTCTAAATCGAATGTATGAGTCATATATGATGAGTGAAGTGTTACAGAAGTTTTGGAGGCGATTGAAGAAATGTAATCATTAGTTTTCAAGAAGTTTAAATAGGTTTTCTAGAGAAGCACATTATTAGTTTAGGCAGAATAATTTGCGTTGGCCCATTCCTACGTCATCACTAACAAAATAATGTTATGTATATACGAAAATATTAAAAGCTTAAGATATATTTGATTCAAAAGGGCAAAAGACAATTAGTAGTCTCTCTCCAGGAATTCAACGTTTTATCCTAATTAATTTTATATTTTTGAAATTGAAGTTCTTCTTCCCTGAAACTGCTCCTACAAAAAACAATAAGAATTATGAGAAAGACTTGAAAGTCGAAGCTAATTAACTTGGCTTGTTATTTCTGAACTTTAAGTCTAATTGAATAACTTGAAAGTACGCATTTTGTTGTGAAGTATTTCCAGGAGTTTTGGGATATTGGTTGGAAGGTGGTTCTGAAACTGCTTCAACAAAAAACAAGAAGAAGTAGAAAAGCTCATTTTCTCAAATTAAGAAGTACTTAGAGATGAAAAATACATCAGGGAAGTTTTTGATTGAAAAGTTACTCTTAATAAGTATGTAATAAATGCTTTACATTCCAAGTCAAATAAATCTATATTTTCAACAAGTATAACAAACTAACTATACAAAATGACAACGCTTCAAACTCTACCTTAACCAGTTATGGTAAAGGTGAGGTACAAAAATACCGGATGCTGAAGACATAACAGTCGTCCCCAGTGTTGCCAGAGAGCAAAATTAAAGAAAAATTGTACCAGACAGAGCGGGTTATCCGGCTACTCGGCCAGGGAGGACACGCTGATTCCTTCAGTGTAACGCGCGCGCGGCCCAGAACATCTAAGGGCATCACAGACCTGTATGTAATATTCATAATAGGTACTAAAATCAGTTCATAATGAACAGACTCATATACCTAACTCCGGCCCTTGGGGCTCGTATAACCTCGGCCCTTCCGACTCGTAACGTAATTAAAACAACACCGGCCATTCAGGCTGAAGATTTGAAAACAACATATGGCAATACTGCTTATGATACAACAAACTTAAAAAATTGACGTTTCAAAGTAGGCCTTGTTTTCTTTAAAACTCGATACAAAATGGCGTTTCTTTGTTGCCCTGTGGGCTCAAGATTGAAAACACTCTCGCCCTTCTGGCTCATGATTTTAAAAAAACGCCATTTTAATCCTCTAGCGTTACAGTGTTGCCAAAAGTTAAAAATTTCAATCAGCCTACAACATCATAGCAATCGTTTCTTGATATCAATTGCCACGTTTTACATTTACGATTACAAATGCTCCAAAATTACCGTTAAAATGTGGCAACGTTGCTGTTGTAGGCCTTGATCTGAATCACAAGGCTGTCAATTGACAAAAAAAAGTCATAACAATCGTAGGTGATCCTGAAAATCAACTCGTCAATTGTCAAAAGTCATATTGTATGTCAAAAAAAATTACGTAATTATTCCAAGTGTTTCAACCGGGAACAATCGAAAACTTACTCTGATGATAGTTTGGCTCGACCAACTGATCATTTAATTTGTTTCCTACTTTATCTCGTTCTTTATCTTACTCATTTATAATCGCTTTTGGTTTTTTACTAATGTATCCTACCTTATCTTCTTCTTTGTTTTACTCACTAGAATCTGGAAAAACATTATGTTTGAGATTGTAATTATGGCAACGTCGCTTTTGATCAAGTAGGTCTTGTAATGTTATGTGTCATTTGGCATTTTAGACAGTCGGCCATTTTCGAGTTTTTTTATCCAATTTCGCCTCGAATTTTCCACTTTTCCAGGCCGGTTTCGATCGGGAAAACTGTTAATTATATGCGAGCCCGAAAAGCCGGAGTGTTATTTATACGCGAGTCCGAAGAGCCGGAGTTATACAAGAGCCTGAAGGGCCGGAGTTATTTTAATCACGGGGCCCAGTTTATAATTATATTGGCCAGCGGATAATTTGGAGCCAATCAAAAACCGGGAATATTCAAAATTCGTTTTTTAGCGCCCAATGAAAGAGCCGGGAACATTCAAAAACTTTAGTTTTATCAAGTTGACTTTGGAATGTTGGTTTTCTATTGGGTTTTCTTAAGATTTTTACTTTTTTCAGAAAACGGTGGTTTTTGCAAACATATACTACTTTATCGTTGTCTTTGTCTTACTCACTATAATCAACAAGTAAACCTTGTAATGTCATTTTCATTGAAATTAAACTAAAAACAAGTTTCCTATGCTTTATCTAGGGAATTTTAATTATAATAATCATTATTTATTAATTATTTGACAATTTTTAATTGAATTTTAAACAAAAAACTCATTTAAAATGTTATTTTTGTTTGCCGAGATGTAATGTGGCAATGTTGCTTTTAGTCGGCCATTTTGAAGTGACTTCTTGTGATTTTTTGTCAGTTTTTCCTCGAATTTTCGACTTTTTCGGGGATTTTTATTGAAAAAAATCGATTTAACATACGAGGCTTCGAATTTTCTTTATTTTCTAGCAAAAATTTCCACTTTTGAATGTCATAATTAACAAAATCCCATTTAAAATGCTTCTGATGTGGCAACACAGCTTGTCGCTAACTTCAATGAAAGAGGCCTTGTAATAAATATCATTTGTCATTTTTGACAGTCATTTCCATTTGACGTGTTTACGTTTTTATCCAGTTTTCCCTCGAATTATACACTTTTCCGGGCTGTTTTTGATCGGGAAAATCAATTTAAAGTACGAGGCTTCGAGTTTCCTTCATTTTGTATCAAAAATTTCGAGTTTTTCATCGGGGTAAGTAACAAAAACTTAAGTTTCATCAAGTAGGCTTTGGAATGTCATTTTTCAATAGTTTTTCTTTGGATTTTCCGCTTTTCCGATCGAAATTGGAAATTGTACCAAATATGCCAATGTCGTACCAGCGTACTTTTCCAGAACAAATGGTACCAAACCTGGTACAATTGTACCACCTCTGGCAACACTGATCGTCCCTCGTAAATCTTCATTAAATGCATTGTCTGAACTGGCTTAATTTTGCGTTTAGATCTTCCAAAAGTCATGGTGTTTTGTAGAATAGAAGAATTCTGATCTTGTGTCTCCCTTTCCTCAGTGACATCATCCTTTTTTTTATTTGTTAGATTCTTCTTGTATAGTATTGCTAGTATTCTGAATGTTTTCTTCAGATTCTTCTTGTAAAGTAGTAGTACCTACTAGTGGTTTGAATGTCTTTATCTGTTACTTCTTGTATGGTCAAGTGAATATTATTATTGGTATTTTGGACAGTTCCATCTATATCCTCTTCCAAAAGAACTACAAGGTCATTAATCGTGTTTTTGGATACTTGTGTGTTGTGTGATTGCAATATGGTCAACGTGTCTACGCCATATACCAGACCATCATCCAGTTTTAATAAATAATGTAATAGCCCCTTTCTTTTTGCAATGTTACCATATTCCCATTTTGTATTTTTCTCCGAAAAATTACGAACTCTAATCCTGTCGCCCCCTTCAAATTTCCTAAAATTTTCTTCTCCAACTGTCGATTTCAAATTTTCTTATCCTTGTAGAGTAGGTTTATTGAGATCAAGTTTCCCTGGAGGTGTTTTGAACTTTGGTTGTAGCCTGCTAAATGTTTGGAAATCCTTTAAATTGTTCTTAATCCATGTTTATTTGTAAATAGGTTCATCCTCGTCGCCACTAACGCCACTAAGGGATGATCCATTATGATCGAGCAGAATTAAGATAGTTAATGACAGTTTTTGAAACAGTGATAATATAGGTACCCTGTTTGTATTGCAATTGAGTTCTCAAAAGTTCCTGGAAAATTTTCTAGTAGCAACCAAGAGCCGGTATGTAAAAATCAAAATTTCGACTATTAAGTCGTTATTTGAGTCTTTACAAACACGAAAACATCTTGACATGCAATAATCCTAAAACGAATCACACCATCACAGTCATTTACTCGATAGTTCTTCTCCGGTCGTTGTCGCTGCATGCAACTCGGTCATTAAATATTACTTAAAAGCTGACGAACCATTAAAAAGTTGTTTTTAATTGTGCTCCAGGATTATTATACAGATTTTAATAGGAGGTTTCTCTCGTGCCCTCCAGCTACGGTAGACTGTTTTCTCTAAGATAATTGAATAACGACTTAAAAAGCCCTATAGGGGTACCATCATTTATTTGACTGCAATGAAACATGTCACAAGTAATTTTACTTAAAGAGAAAAGTTGTTGAGGATGGACTGATTATCGGTCACGACCCTATCTTATTTTCTCTTTATTTGTGAGTTCAAAGACATTTTTGACACTGCAACGCTAACAAGGTGAATAGTAATTATCAAAAAATACAGTTAGGTATAAACAGTTAAGAATTATTGTTATTTAAACTATTATAGACACAGTTATCTATCTCTGTATACCTGAGGCTTGGTTTTTAGAAAAATTATTATTATTGTCTTACTGTAACTAACAATAGTGCAGCTGTAAAATTCTAACATTGTAAATCGACCTACTCTCTTTTGGGTGTCGGATGTCAGCCTGCAAAAAGCTATAGAGGATACTGGATATTTTCCCGGGGAGAGGGTTTTCGGGCAACCATCCAATATTATATGCGAACATCCCTTTTAAAGCTCAGGCAGCCGGGATGATGGATGGTCGACACCCGAAACCGTGTTTTTAACGCAGAGGCCAAGTCGTAGATCATTTTTCCCTGCTACCATTGAGCAATTTTTTATGTTTGTGAATTGTGTGGCGCCAGACTTATTACCTAGAGTCTGATGTTTACTTCCAGGATAAATAGGAAAGAAACAATAATGAATACAGAAGTTTAGTCATACAAGATACAAGGTATATAGAACTGATAAAAGATTATAATGAGAGATTGATTATACCTACATATTGGAAAATAGCTAAAGCCAGGTTTACTTGGTCCAAGTTCTCATCCAAAGTAGGTACACTTGGACCATGTATCAACAACAAGGCTTAACTAAATAGAGAAAGTATATTCTTACCCATGACCATTTGGAAACCTGGTAGATCCAGGAGAGGTAGATGTAGAGTACGGTGGTGGCGTGCCCTGGTGGGGCGAGGCCGCGGACGGAATGGCAGCAGGTTCGTAGTACTCTGTGTTCAGAGTGCGGTCGTCGATTTTCAGCTCGGAATTGTGCGCCTTGGACGCACTTTTGATGTCCATGAACGCCACCGTGCACGCCATCTGGACCTCGCTCGTCTTGTCCTCGGCGACCCTCGGCAATAGTTTAACGCTTTGCACTCGACCATATCTGGAAAATAAACGAGAAATGATGAATATTTGAAAAAGTTTAAACCAACCATAACCAATATATAATGGTATATTGTGTATATTCGGTCTGCAGCTACAAGCACTCTTATTGCATATTCTAGCTGTTTCTACAAGCAATATACAGGGTCACAGAAAGTCAATGATAATACTGAAAGGGCTGATGGAGCAACTCATTAGCATCCAGAAACACATAATATGACCTTAATAATATTATGTTTTTCTGAGTTGCCCCTTGTTGACTTTCCAAACACATTGTATAACTTCATGTTTTACCCAAATGTGTACGAATTTTCTGTGCAAAATGAAAATATTTTAGAATACAAATGTCTAGCTTTGAATAAAGAGCATGTTGTTTTTCCTCTCCAAACAACGTCACAGGCTAGAGACTACAAAGGTCTGTTCTAATCGGTCAAATAACTGTCCCAAGAATGGCTTCGGAACCACTCTTTATATGAATTTGGGATTCTATGCACAAATTTCACGTTTTGCGCAGAATCCTGAAGCTAAAATGTACGGTTCCCTGCTGAGTTGGAACAAAGCTACTTTTAAGCATCACAATCGAAAGTAGTATATTCTTGAAGCATAGGAGGAATATATCACCATTGAGATTTTCCCAAAACCATCAAAAATTGAAATTTTTGCAATTTTTAGGTTTTTCTCAGTATGAATCTTGAATTTGGTATCAATATAAGTAATCCCTGAAAATTTCAGCTCATTTGGACTTATAGTTCCGGAAATAAGATCGTGGTTAGCAATTTTGGGTGATTTATCAATTTTTCTGAGTGCCTTTTTTTATAGATTGAAGCCCAAATCTAAAAATAAATTATTGTATGAAGTTCGGGGGATCCCAAAGGACCATTGGGACACATAATCTCATCAAAAAAAAACTTGAAATTTTATCGTTTTAGTAAGAAGTTATGTACCTTATGATCTAGATTTTGGAAAACTTTTATAGGTCATAACTGTTTTTCCATTGAAGATAGAATGCTGAAATTTTCAGCAAGTCTTATCCCTGAAGAGAATTACAATCCCTCAAAATTTCAGTTCATTTGCACTTATAGGTAGTTCCAGAAATAAAATAGTGGTTAGCAATTTGGGGTGATTTATCAATTTTTCAATTTTTCTGAGTGCCTTTTTTCATAGTTTTGGGCTTCAAATCTGAAAATAATTTAGTGTATGAAGTTTGGGGGATGGTAATTAACCATTAGGATACAAAATCTTGACAAAAAAAAAATTGAAATTTCATCTTCTTAGTAAAAAGGTACCCTTAGCACTTAGATTTTGGAAAACTTTGAAAAGTCATAACTTTTTTCTATTATAGATAGAAAGCTGGAATTTTCACTGAATCTTATTTCAATATAGGGACCACAATTCCTGAAAATTTCAGCTCAATTGCACCTATAGTTCCTAAGATAAAATCGTGTTAAGGGTCATTTGTCAATTTTTCAATTTTTCTGAGTACCTTTTTCATAGATTTCGGCTTCAAATCTGAAAATAATTTAGTGTATGGAATTTAAGGGATCCCAAAGGACCACCAGGACACAAAATTTTCTACCGAGAGGTGGTTAACTGGTCAAAATCCCAGAAAATATCATAAGATCTACTGAAAATCTCTAAAAATCTTTGAAATACTTAAAAATTGAACCCACAAAATCTCTTGAAATTGCATAAAATCCTACAAAATCTAACAAAGTGTCATTAAAACCAAAAAAATCCTGCAAAATCTTTTAAAATCTTTCCTAAAAAATATTTCTTTTGAAATTCCCAAAAATTCTTTGGAATCCCCAAAAGTCTCTCAGAATACCATAATTTAGTGGAATTTCGGTAGAATTATGTTATTCTGAAACAATTACATGTGATATTTTTGCAGAGTTTCCATAGAATTCACATTAAATTTCAGTTCCTCTCAAATTACATGAAATTTCAGTGAAATTCCGATCGAATTATACAGAATCCTAAATTAATTGCATGGAGGAATTTTGAACAATTATATAAAATAACACCAAAATTCCCACCATGAAATTTCAGTTCTTACTGAATTTTATTAAAATTTCAGAAAAATGGAATGCCGAGGAATTTCCGGCTAAAAACATGGAATTTTGGTAATTTTCTGAAAAATTCTCGTATAATGACATGAAATTTCAATATATTTCAATGAATTTTCAAGAAATTACTTGAAGTTTCATTAATATTCCCAGAAATTCTTGGCTATTTAAAGAGAATTTTAGTGGAATTTTGAAAAATTCCTTGAAGTCTCATTGGACTTTCGAGAAATCTTCCGCTATGAACATGGAATTTCAAAATAATCTAAAATTTTTGTGAATTCCGAGGAATTTTTAAGAAATTACATTAAAGGTCAATGAAATTCCGAAAAATTTTATGAAAATTTTTGTGGAATTCCAGGATATTTCAGTGGTAGAGTTTTGGGGAATTTCAGTAAAGTTTTTGAAAAATTATGGAATTTGGAATTTATATAGAATTTTGGAGAATTTCAGTGGGATTTCGAGAAAAACAAAAAATTATCGAATGTAATAATACCACAAGAGGTTTCAGGATTACCGGATAATACTTTTAGGTAAAAGTATTAGGTAATCCTGAAACATCGAGTGGTATTCAAAAGGTTATACAACGAACTAAACTTCAATACTTCATTAATTTTTATTATTATTAATAACAATATTGCCACCAAGCGCGATAATCCCAAAAGGCTTATCACTTTTTAAGCCTCTCGTGTCATATGGGAATAATGTACAGTGAGTTGTATAACCTATGTAATATTCGCAAAATTTCCATCAAATTATATATATTTCGATTAAATGTCGAGTAAAATTCCAAGGAATTCGCGTCAAATTACATACGTGGAAATCCTTGAAATCTTATTGTGGAATTCCAGTAAAACTACATGGAATCCGAAGAATTCCCTTGTAATTAAACAGAATTTCCGTGGAATTTCCATGGAACCACGAGAAATTTCGACAGAATTCTGAAGAAATGAATTAAATTTTAGTGAAATTCTGAGTAATTTCTGCTGAATTACATAAAATTTTAGTGGAATTCCGAGAAATTTCATGAAATTTTTTACAGTAATTCCGAGGAATTTTTGTACAAGAATTCTATATTGAATTTTATGGTGGAATTTCGAGGAATTCCATAAAATCTTCTAGTAAAATTTCTAAAGGAATTTCTATGCAATTAACAAAAATTTTCGTAGAATTCCCATGGAATTAAAATCTCTAAAAATCCTTTAGGATCTAAAAACCCTTCTAACTTCCTTGAAATGAATGCTCCAAAATCACCTAAATTCTTTCAAAATCTTGTAAAATCATATGAAGATTTTCAAAATCCTCAAAATCCTACAAAATCAATGAAGATTTAAAATCTGTGTACATACACACATCAAAATAGTCTAGGGAACAAGATATGCAACTGAATAATTTGATAAGATTTGTTCGACAAATACCCACGTTATCTTTTTCGAAAAGTTGTTCTGTGTCAAAATTAAAAGACAAATATGTCTTGTTCCCTAGACTATTTTGTTGAGTGTATTTTAAGGAGTTAACTACCCCTCGGTAGCTACTGAGAGTAAACCAAAAGTTGAGAATACCAGCAACAGCTTTTTGAGACGCTCATTGGTTATCAAAATTTGAAATATTTCCGGCTCATGATTACCTCCATTTTGAAAGCCAATCATAATCAAAATTCAAACAATTAGTGGCACTTGATTGGTTTTAGAAAAATTATCCAGCAAATCAAAAGCCAGTAAAAATAAAATTTTAAATGAAGATTACATGTTTATACAGCCTGATTGCAAATACATTGAAAAAAAATTATGTTTTCTTCAGGAAATCTTTTGAAATGCTCCATAATTCTTGAAAATTTAAACATTCTACAAAGTCGAGCCTAAAAACAAGTAGTTTCATTAACCAGCTTGAATCTTGAATAACAATTAAATTCAATCGACTTTGGCAACATTGCACAAAATCCATCTCACGTATTCGCCTGTTGTGTCATGCGCCAAGCCACAACTCTCCACTCACAAGCCGAGCCTCACCCTTTTTGGCGACGTTGCCACATTTCGCTCGTTTCACTCATTCCAAGGAAAATACACTGCGACTTATATAATGGAGGTTTATGTGGCAACACGAAGCATCCGGGTGGGGAAAAAGGGGTGGAGCCGAGTACTGGAGCCACTTCACTTGGAGCGGGGCAGTTTTAACTGAGAGCTGCGAGGGTAAGGAGCGCGTCGATTCTGAGAGATTTTTTTTTCTTTTTTGTTGGCGAAAATAAGTGATTAGAAACGTGGCTTTTAGAATCGGATACCGGATTTTTTGATTACAAAAGCGATTTTTTGGGGCTTTAAATTCCAATTATTGGATTCAAAAAAAAAGGGTGTGGCAGGCTGCGCTTTTTTTTTCTTACAGTGTTTGGGATTTTGATATTTTAGGATTGATTTATATGGTTTTATTAAATTTTTCTCAAAAAAAAAAAACCTAATAAATTATAATTATTATCGTTTCTTCTTTAGTTATTATTATTACAGTGGCCGCTTGGCAACAGCGCAAACCTAACTAGGAAAATCGAGGGTCTAAAAGCAACGTTGCCAAATCGATTGAAACTTCCTCAAACACCATGAATTTATTAAAACTTAAAAATTATTATTATTTAATAGGAAATTGAAAAATGGGAGTAATAACCGAAAACTGTGTCAATGAATTGTTTTCATTTAAATCTTGCAATTAATGTTTAAGGCAACAATTTTATGCGTAGTTTAATAATTTTTGTTGTTGTTCAAACAAGGCCTGGCTTTGTTTGAATAACCTCATGGGTTGGCCCACGCACCAAAACAACATCCAACTTTCTAATCCACTGAATATTTATCGAATAAATGAACTCACCATAACCACGTGGTTTAATAATAAAAATAGGAAAAATTAGCATGTGTGTGTGTGTGTCGATATTTTTAACCTTCGATTTTTTTGT